TCTGAAGAAGGGTCTAGGCCCGAAACGTCATCCTTCCTGCTCCTCTGATGCTGCTTGGCCTGCTGTGTTCATCCAGCTCTACACCTTGTTATCTCAGATTCTCCAGCATCTGCAGTTCCTACTATCATTGAATCTAAAACCAAGGTTCAACAACTGCTGTATTGACAATGACCAGTGGGAATCTTTCCCAACAGTAATAATCTTGTAATGGAAATAACAAGTAAGATGTAACAAAACAAAACATCTTGAAGTCCTGATGTCGACTTTTTATATTCTATCTGCTAGACTCTGTCTCATATATAAAGTTTAAGGCAACAGTCCTGGATGAGTAGCTGGGAGCACAGATCACAGTCAACTTTGACTCGTGCTCCCACTGAATGTGATTTCCCACTTGGGATCTGAGATTTACTGTCAAGTATTAGTCAGGACTGATGGAAGGATGCATTGCACTGGGAACTCTGTTATGTACTGATACTGTATAGTATAACTTTGCTAGTCCCTTTGTCTTGGTATTCTCTGTCTCCGTCCACCTAATTTCATCTTATGTAAAACATTTTTCTTACCAAAACCCATCCTGTGCTTTCATGTTTGGATGGTCCACCACGAACCTGAACTGCAACATTCACTCGGTCTCCAGGTAACTCTTCCAAAAGCTTGACTCCTTTGGGAGACTCAGTGACCTGCTCACAACAAGTAAGTAACCAAGAATTAGAAGAGGTAAATGGGACTAGTATATCAATAATGAACAATACAGAACCATACAATGGGAAGTGGCAACAATAAAGAAAGATGTACTTGATACGAAAATATAGGTAATTCACTCCAGACCGGCCAACTAGAAATCTAAATTTAAACAAGGTAATAATTTATGACTAAAAATTAATATTAAGCCTTAGATATTCTCTTAGGTACTGTGGTGCTGGTGTCTATCAGCAGACTAATGGTCTAACGTTGGAGGTAAACAAGAGGTAGCAGCATCATTGCCCACATTCTCCACTTTATCCTATTTCAGTGGTCAATCTTGCCTCAGAAGGTTGGGGGCTCATCCTCCAACTCGAGGACTTAGGCTCAAAAATGTTGATCTTGCTCTTTATGCACCTTCTCTGCAGCTGCAACATTGCATTCTTCGCTCTGTTCTATTACCCTAATGCAGTTTGTATAGTATGACCTGCCTGTACTGCATGCAAAACAAAACTTTTCACTGTACCTAGGTACATGTGACAATAATAAATCAGATCAAACTGAATCAAAATCCAGGCTACTACTCCAATGAAGGAGTGCTGTAGAGTCAGAGGAGCTGTTTTTCAAATGAGACATTACATTGAGGGTCTCCCTGCCCACTCAAGTTGACATATTAAAAAAGCAGATTATTGGCACACAATAATATTGCAGTTTGTGCATGTTTGTTCTGTGAAAACCAGCTGCTGCTTTTCCTATCTTACAACAGTGACCCCGCTTCATATGTACTTCATAGACTATCAAATTTTTGGGACATCCTGAGGTCAGAAATGTGTCATATAAATGTTAAGTCTTTTTTCCTTATTTTCAGGAGTCTGCTCCTAAGATTAATACCTAATCATAAAGCCCAGACTACAACAATTACAATCACTCATAATCCAACAAGACTAATATGACTTTTAATTGTGCCATCAAGGATCCTTCTCCAGTTGTTCCAGAAGGAGACTGACAACGATTAGTGGTTCAAGGCCATTTCATTAAACTGCAGTTTTTACAAGCAGTGACGGAATGTGGAGAACGATAGCTACAACAAAACTCCACTTCACCTAATCTCACTTCAGTCCTCCAAAAAATTGGAAAGAGTAATAAACCATAGGGGATGGTCAAACCATAAAAGTGATAAGCTTATCACTTTTATGGTTTGACCATCCCCTATGGTTAACTTTGCTCCTAAATTTTTAGCTCATGTTAACCACATTAGGAGAAACTATTCTCACTTGGAAACAGATCAGGAACTAGAGGGCACAGCTTTAAAGTGGTTTTCAAAAGAAGCAATTGTGAGGTGAGAAAGAAACTTTTTTTCACAGAGCGGGTAGTTAGTGTCGAGAATACATTGCCTGGAAGTGTGGTGGAAGCAGGTTCAACTGGGCATTCAAGAACAGCATTGGATGGTTATTTAAATTGAAACAACGTGTAGGGTTAGGGGGAAATGGACAGGAGATTAGCACTAAATTGAAATGACCAGAAAATCAAATGTGGACAGGATGAGTCAAATGCCTTCTGAACTGTAACAATTCTGTGATTCTGTGAACAGGAGAAGATATTAGTACACATTTTACTTTCCAGTTTTGGTCCTCAGCTTGGAAGTTGCAGTTTTGTGTTTTTTAAAAAAAATATTCATTGCTAATACATGCCATTACACTATCGCCTAATTTCAAGACACTGGTGGGGTTGTTTCTGAAACGTCATTTCCATTTATCTACCTTTTGTCTACCTTTTCTCTAGGACTTATGAAACCATCTCTTGCAATTCTCAAAATGAAGAAGGGCCATGCTAGTCAATGGGCTCAGCTAGAGACAAATAGACCGGTATGAGTTTGAACAGATTGTGTTTTGTAAACTGGTCACCCACTTTTAATGTTCGATGCCTGCTTTCAGAGCTATTTTTAAAACTAGTGCAAAATTCACTTCCGTTTCAAATTCAAACGTAACCCAACTCCAAATCTTTTCAGTGAAAGAAAATAATGAAAGGTCGCAAAATATAACAAATATGCAAGATATTATTTTGTCAGCATTTTTATATTTATAGAATGGCTGTTAGATGAAATTATCCAACAGAGTGCTGACTGTCTGACTATTCAATGAGAAGTTAAAAGCCAGATTTAGTTGTATGGTGGTAGCAGCCAAAATCCTGCGACTGTCTGCCTTCTAAATCAAGCAGCAAACATTCTCATCCCAGACATGCTACACTGCATTGTTTTTGAAATAACAGTGAACAAGTTTCAAGTGAAGCCCCTTCAATTTCAATGTCAACTTCTGTGATATTGTGAACACTGCGATAAAATGCACAAAATTTCATCTATTGACAGTCCCATTTCCTTTTGTTCATCTTAGTTATACATATTATTAGAAATTAAAAATGGGTTGCAATTATATGTCTAGCTCATGAGCTTGTAAGTATCTGATATCAAAGGCAATATTCCCTAATGTCCTATGTTGTAATGCAAGATATCGGATGATCTAGTACTTTCTTAGTATTTTGACTTCTTGTTTTTCTTGTCTGGAAACTTGGCTTCCTCTCCATCTACCAACTGCCACTAAAACTCTTGCTTATGACGTTAAATTATTTCTTCCAAAATGAAACACCATTTCAGTTGCTCTTAAGGACAAGAGATCCTGCTGTGTGTTTTATGGATTGTAATCCTTTTCTCATAGAATGCTTAGACATGATTCTAAAAGAGGAGTTTATCCAAAAATTTCTAATCTGTGGTCAGTGACATAGTATCTGAGTGGTGAATGCCTGGTAGAGGAACTGCACATTAAACAGCCAATTAACTACATTCACAGGGCCAACTGCAAAGGTAGAAGACACCTCCTGATGATAAAACCTGTCCTCAAAGTACATCAGGAGAGGAAAGAGCTGAATCTCTCAGAATTGAACAGCACCTAAAAAGGCACAGTCATAGAATCCCTACAATGTGGAAGCAGGCCATTCAGCTCATCAAGTCCATACCGATTCTCCAAAGAGCATCCCACCCAGACCTACCCCATCCCTGCATTTACCGTGGCTAATCCATCTAGCCTACACATCCCTGGAAACTATGCAATTTAGCATGGCCAATCCACCTAAACTTGCACATCTTTGGATTGTGAGAGGAAACTGCAGCAGTTAGAGGAAACCCACACAGACACAGGGAGAATGTGCAACTCCACACAGACAGTCACCCAAAGCTGGAATCAAACCCGGGTCCCTGGCACTGTGAGGCGGCAGTGCTAACCACTGAGCCACCGTGCCATCCTAATCATCTTTGGCCGATAGATCTCAAGGTTTGGATTTTGCTGGGTCATGTTAAATCTATGTTACTAGATTTAATAATCCATAGAACGTAGCTTCAGATCTTGCCATAGCAGTGTGTGAATTTTAGTTGATTTTAAATAACAGCTTCTGAAATAAATCAGGAATTAAAAAGCTGGTGTCAGTGAAAATAACAATGGAGCTGCCAGATGGTTGGAAAAATATAATTCAACTAGTTGGCGAATAGCCTTTAGAGAAGGAGGGCTATTGTTCTTACCCAGTCTGGTTTGTGCCTGCAGTCCCACATACACCAACATGGCAGCTCTCAGCTGCCCCCTGAAAGTGACCATTTGGCTAAATAGTGTTCCACATTCTCTCCTTGTGCTTCTTGCCAGAGTGAAGGTGAATGTGAGATTCGAGGGGAACCGGAACATTGGACTACATGTCTTGGTATAAGCCTTGAATGTCTGTCTCAGTATTGACTTTTGTCTGGGCTGGATTTTATACTCCAGGGTGTGCTCTTCCTGCCACTTAGCCCCATCTGTCTCACAATTCTTTGTTGGGAAGAGGTGGAGTGGGGGCCGGAGGGGAGGTTGGACAACTCCTGTCCACCTAGACTTGGACCTTTTGGTGTACTTACCCAAATAAGATCACTTAAGATCCTCATTCCTCCTACCTCACCATTCTGTTATCTACAGAGGGATGTCCATACCATGTGGAAACTACCAACTTCAGCCCCATAGGCTGGTGATAGGCAAGTGGGCAGTGGTAGTGGAGGGGGGGAGTGGGGATTGGGGTGGGCAATGGGGGCAGGGGAGCCTCCTTTGTGGCTCCCTTGTGCCCACTGAAGTAATTCGTCTTTCAAACCCTTTCAAACACCCAGGGTCTGAAGCTCTGTCCCACACCAACACCCATCCTTGCCTTACTAGGATCTGCCTTCCTGACCCTAGTGTTACCCCAGACGTACCTCCATTGTGCAGTGATGTAGCTGTGACCTCAGCAGTCATGTGATAACGACTCTGCCAGCAGGTTGGAACTAAAACAGCTCTAGGCAAAGATGCCAGCTGCTCAATTATCCAGTCTAAATTGTTAATAAGAGATAGTAAGAACTGCTGATGTTGGAGTCAGAGATAACACAGTGTGGAGCTGGAGGAGCACAGCAGGTCAGGCAGCATCAGAGGAGTAGGAAAGTTGACATTTCGGGTCGGGACCCTCCCAAAACGTCAACTTTCCTACTCCTCTGATGCTGCCTAAATTGTTAATAATGTTGTTTGACCATACACCTCGAGGATTGGCTTGGCCTGAACTTATCTGAACAGATGGACCCAAACTGGAACATGAATGATTTCATTGCCACATTCACAACGCAAGAACTTGTAAGGCTGTAAAGCAAGAACAAAGTTTTGGGGACAAAATCTCTGAAGTGTTTTCTTCAGTAAAAATGAAATTCAGCAACAAAAAATTTATGTTGGAACCTTTCACTATTTGTGACCTTCACGTGAATGAATGTACTAAAACGAATTAGGCAAATTGTACAGCTGTCCTACCTTTCTCCAAGTGACAATGGGAGTTGGAACAGCTTTCACTTCACAGGATAGGTAGACTTGAGCACCAGTCACATTCTGGACCGAAATTGGTGTGAGTACAATGGTAGGAGCTGTGAGAAAACAAATCATTGAAACATTTACATTCCAGAAAAAAGGAAATGTTTTAGGCTGAATTGATCCATACCAGTGCAGCAGCTTGAAGTTCAGGTTGTGAAGCTTTTCATCTTGCTGCTTCCTGCTTTTTGGCAAGTGTTTCAATAGTGCAAAGTGAATGATTTACTCCCTCTGCTGGCTGACATTGCACTTTCTTTCAGAGTGAAATCAGGAAGGAGGAATATTTCACACAGCGTTGCAGAATGTTATAGAACACTTCCCTTTTCAGAACAGGCTTGTCCAGCTGGCAGCTCCCAGGCCATGCTGTGGCCCTCTTAGGGGTCCTATGTGACTTGTGACGTGGGTTTTAACTACAGGTAAAATAAATGAAAGATTCTTCAATGTGATCAGAGGCCAATCAGTCTTTCTCTCCCAAGTTTGTTGATAGGTTCAACAAGGTCAAGTTCAGTAGAAAATCTAGAATAGAAGCTGTGGATGTCAAATCATTTGAAAATTGCTAGACTAAGATCCAACTGATTTTTAGGTAACCCAAGGATACGAATCAAATATGTGTCAACGGGGATGAGATATGACCAGCCATTATATGGTTAGAATGTTGGATACTGAAAGACCCCTGTTATTCCTATTTTCCCTACTGGTGCGCTCCCAAGGAGATACAGTCCTCTCCCACCTTGGCTTTGCATTTTGTTTCTGTAGTTATTTCCTGGTGCCATTAGCATTTAGCATAATAAAAACAAAACACTGGTGCCCATGATTTAACTGATCTAACTGGACTGGGCGTAAGACTAGCCTTGGAGTTATTGGAACAAACTTGTAATATTTATCTAGTCAGGGACTAGATTACAGCGTAATCGTTCAGTTAGGTTGGGATATCGATGAAGTAAAGTAAAATCTACCAAATGCCAATACAGGTTGACTCTTGGTTTCAGTTCCTTTCATCAGTGGAAGGACTGAGATGCCACCATCACACAGTTTCTTCAGTCAAGCATCACTGCCAATGTGATATGTTCTGAGTGCTGCCCTACATGAAGATCATCCAACATAACATAACATAACATAACATAAACATAACCTAATATAAACATAACAACATAACATACCAAATAACACAACAAATCAAAACAAACTTCTGAATTCTGAAGAAAAGTCGTATCGGTCTGGGAACATTAACTCTGTTTTTCTCTCCACAGATGCTGCCTGATCTGTTGAGTTTCACCAGAATTTTGTTTTCTTAATAAAGATCAGGTACTGGGTGAGACAGCTGTCTTGAAATCCAATAACATTTACTGTGTTATAATATGACAGAATTGTACATTGTGCGGGTTCTGTGCTTTCTCATGTTAGTTTACATTACACACTGACAACTGAAAACACCACACTGACTCCTTCACACTGAAAGAGTGACTGGAGGTGAGATGGGTACCTTTATACTGGGACGTCATGTGTAGCAGTGTAATGTAACTATCTTAAAGGCACACTGCCCGCCTGGTCTGGAATCGATGCAATAACACAACCAGGTCATTGCCAATCAATTTTAAAGTATGTTCAGAAGCAAACAGTCAGAATAGACTGTATTGCACTTCAGGATATTGGATGGCACTAATCATTTAAAATTGATCAAACACTCTGGATTTTCGAATCAATTGTTCTTTTGTCTGATTAAAGCCAATGTGTAAGAGTTCTGGTTTCAGTGTTTTGTTCCCAAACTTACCTTCAATTTACGCAAAATGTGGCAGAAACCCACAACAACAAAGAAATAGCACTGTATCATTTCTGTGAATTGCAACTCTCAAAGGTAGCACATGAAAGGTTGCCATCCCTGTCTATGTATATATACACACACATACATATGCATACATATCGTTGACAAAACACTACTATTAATTGATCATCAGATTGCAATATTTGATCTGTGCGTCAAGCATAGTAGTTGATCCCTTTGTCAAACCTTGTTCATTCAGTGTTGCATTTCAGTTTTGTATATGAAGCATTTACACAATCCCTACAGTGTAGAAAAAGGCCATTCAGCCCATCAAGTCTGCAAATGACCCTCCATAGAGCATCCCACCCTGATCTACCTCATCCCTGTAATCCTACGTTTCCCATGACTAATCCACCTAGTCTGCATGTCCCTGGACACTATGGGGCAATTGAGCATGGTCAATCCACCTAACTTGCACATCTTTGGACTGTAGGAGGAAACTGGAGCACATGGCAGAAACCCACGCAGACATGTGGAGAATGTGCAAACTCCACACATACAGTCACTTGAGGCTGGAATTGAACCCAAGTCCCTGGCGCTCTGAGGCAGCAATGCTAACCACTGAGCCACTGAGCCACCATGCCACCCCTTTTTAAACACTTCTTTTTTATTATGAAAGCCAAATATAAGGACTGGAACTTTTTCTGAGTTAAATTTTAAGTACACTTCAAAAACATTTAATTGGCTATGAACAAAATGCCCTGAGGATGTGAATGGGTGCTACGTAAATTCAATATCTTTCTCTCTTGATTTTAACTCCAAGTGGGAGAAGTATGGATGGAGGTTGAAGCAGTGGCAATCTGTCTGGCCCTTTCCACTGAGAGACCTGGGAAAATCATTCCCCAGCTCAAACCTGACAGGAAACCCCGTTTCTTGGTGATTGGGAATTTGGGCAGCAGTAGGCTGCTGATGGGAGCCCACAAGAAATGGTCCCACCATTTGGATATTTGATTGGATAGGCCATTGGGAAACAGCATAACCATCATGGGAAGAGGAGGGATTCCAGAGATTTCCTTGCGGAGTTTGGACGCTTTCTGGAGGCACAGGTTCTTCTTGTCACAAAATGAATGCCTTCACTGGCCTTTAGTTAGAATTGCCGTCGGGTCCCACTGATATCAGACTTGGTCTGCCAATGAAAGAAGGACCCACAGATCAGCAGATAGTTGTCCTTCTCACCTACTGACAGGAATAATATAAGGTGGCAATCTTCAAGAAGGCAGTGAGATCAGAGTCTATCACAGCAACCATTTTTAACTGTCTCCTAGGCAGGCAGAGTTAAACAGAAATACCTTTCAGGAAAAAATAGAAAAAGACCTTGCTTTCAGTACCAAACTTTGGAATGCAATGGTACAACACAGCCAGTTATCATTTAAGGTATGCTTAGGAAAAACATGCATATATTTGCCTTATAAAAGCACAAGATTGTACAATAGTGGTGACCTTGATCACCACTTGAATGTCTAACCAGACAAAATAAACCACTCTCTATTAACTGTCATTCTAGATAATCAGGCGTCTGCTTCCCAGGATGAGGCTGCTTCAAATCCTGAACAATGTATAATACTGGAACGAAGCCAGAATTGCTTTGTAACTGCTCTCAAGCAGCTGAGTGTCTGAAAAGTTCGATAATTTCATCACCCTGTCTAATTCTGTTCAGAATGAGCCCCAGCATAAAAAAACAGATTGCTGTGGCAGTATCCATGGGGGTCCAGTGTCCACAGTTCACAAAGATTGCTGTATGAGCATACGTGGGTTCTTAAGCTGGGAGATCCCGTGACCCCATCCCCACAAAATCTTGGTCAACCTTGGCTGGTCCCTTAAAGGCCAGTGTTTTTGAAAATGCATCGCAACACCTTGCTTTCCTCCAGTCTGCTCTGCTGTGTGTAGCTGGAACAGTTAAAGGCAGTGCAGTCAGCGTAAAGCATTCTTAAAGGGGAAAACAGCCCATCACAAAAAGACAGCAGGTCGCTGAAAGCACTGAAATCCTGCAGTGTAAATGCAATCCAGATAGTTACTGCTTTAAATTAGATGGCAAACCAATTTAGAATGCTTTTTGATTCAAAAATCAAAAAAAAAATAATGATCTGGACGTCGCTGGGCAGAAATGTAGGTGGTAGAATTTACCATGTAATAAAGCAGGACCTAATGAGGTCTTTACAAAAGCTGCTCGCCTAACGACACTGTTGGAGCTTATTATGAAGTCCTCAGTAAATCAATCTTCTTATTAATGAAGTAGTAGAGTGTTGTTAAAGGAGGCTGTTGCATGTTTGCCAAATACCCTTCTATTATGAGCGAACCTAGGGTATCTATAGGGAACCTAGACTCCCCATGGACTACACATAGATTTTGATCATACAGCTGTTAGATTTCACAGTGATCTATGAAGGGCCATCTGCTCAGAATACTCCATCTGTAAAATTATGAAGAGGGCAATATCTGCAGCAATGCTTTTTTTTAAAAGGAGTGCATAGTGACTGAAACAACTCTTTATATCAAAGCAATTTCCTGAAGGAGCCTTTAATTAACAACAGGGATACACATGCACAAAATCCTAACAAGTTGCTCGATATCCAAGGAGCCAGAGATCATTTTGATAACCATTCTACCTTGAAGGTAAAAGTAATCCATTATAATGTTCTTTAGTGACCATTCCCAGACAACTGTCTCCCCCCTCCAATTAACCCCTTGCCTACTTATCAGCATTTTCACTATTTAATACTCGCTGCTCAAAGCTCCTAATCCTATTGCGAAATCCTTTTTTACAGTGTAAAACACAATTATGAGCAGACTTGACCAAAATTAGCAGCAAACATTATAAGTCAGCAGTCACCAGCTCCTGTAAAAATGGCTTAGACACACAGACAAAGAAACGACAAATGAAAAGGCTAATCAATGCACTCTCCACCTTATTGATGGACTGCTTGCTACATTCTTACCATACAACGTAGCAATGCAATTATGTAGGATGGATATTTGAAAAAAAATGGGACAGTGGGTTAGCCATGCTCACCCCAACTTGCTCAATCACCACCTCTTCACTCTCGACACTATTTAAATGTGGAGGGAGTGGCCTTCAGACAGACCATCACAGAAGCAGTAGGTTTCATAGAGAGGCAGTCTTGTTTTTCAAAAACTGGAAATACACCCCTTTACAATGTCACAATTCAAAGGAGGATCCAGGTCAGTTGTCTGGAAGCACAAGTTCAAACACATTGAGGTCGATACCTGGAATAG